TTGTAGAAATTTCAGTCAGTTGACTACCTGTAGCTCTGGGCAATGTCCACTCTACATTTTAGTTGTATTCCATTGAAATTGTTGTGTGCTGCCGCGGCTAGATGTCTACCCGAGCAGCCATCTTGGATCCTCTAATCATCATTCTCTACCATTATTTCTTTAAAGACCTTCTCTATTCCTTTCTCTCTTTCTGCCTCTTCTGGCACACATACTATTCTAATATTGTTACGTTTCACATTGTCCCACAGCTCCCTTAAGCTGTCCTTCTGTTGTTGTTTTTTATTGTTTTTTCTTTCTGGTTCTCTAATTGAGTGATATTTTCAACTCTGTCTTCTAATTCACTGATTCAATCCTCAGCTCCTCTAATCTGTTGTGTATTCCTTTCAATATGTTCTTTATTTATGTTATGACCTTATCTTTTTTCATAGTTACTATATTTTTTTCATACTGTTGAGCATTTTTAACATTATTACTTTGAATTCTGTTTCAGATAACTTTCTTATCTCTTCTTCATTTATCTCTTCTTCTGGAAAATTCACTAGTTCTTTCATTTGGGGATTGTTTTTTTGTTTCCTCATTTTGGTTGTCTGTTTGGGTTTGTGACTATGTTTTAAGTAGATCCTCTATACCTCTTAATCTCTAATGCAGGACAGTTAAAGGCTGCTTCTGACTAATTGGATCAGGCAAAGACTCACAGCCTCCAGAGACTGCCTCTGTCTACAAACTAATAAGATTCTGACTTGAATTGCCCCCAGAAAATAGTCTCAAGTGTGGGGAGAGTTTTTTTCAACAGGGTGGGGTAGTTGCTTCTGCCTGGAGGCTAATAGTTACTTTTAATCTCTTAAGTGGCCTCTGGGCAAGGTGTTTTCTAATAGGTGTGTCAACTGTCTTCCTCCCAGGAATGGCAGATGTCTGTGTGGGAAAGATGTCCTCCACTATGTGAGGGAATGACTCAGCCCAGAAAACTTGGGGTGTCTTCCTTCTGGGCTCTATCTCCTGACTCCCCAGTCCTGGGTTCTGCTCTCACAGCTCCAGTCCACTTCACCCTCCCTCTGCCAGAGCACAAGGTGGGTGGCTCCACAGGGAATTTTTGTGTGTTGGCCCTTTAAAAGGGTGTCCGAACTTTCAACTGCCACTCTGTGGCAGACAGTGCCCCACTGCTTTTCACAGATAGATGTTTGATACTCAGTTTGGTGCTTCTGCTAGAGAGCCCAGCTTAAGGAGTGCAAATGCCATACCATAACAGGTAGTCATGGAAACACAACTCGAAAAATTGGAATTTTTTTTAAAACCCTGCTCATATTTACGCATGTTATTGTTACCTCCATTCAGTCTCTGTTGATTTGGGGTCACCACAAGAGGGTTATTGGCTGTGATTGATTCTTTACTGCTTTGGTGTTTCCAAGATGCACTGCTGTTTTAAAATCTTCTTTTTGCTCTTTCCCCCCCCCCCCCCAGTAGATTAGATATGGAGGATTCTTTGCCTGATTGGTTTGAGAGTCTATCATTAAGCTCAGGCTGGTCTATGCATTGAGTGGGGTGTGCACAATTAAATTCTCATTGAGGTCCAAATTGTGACCGCCTTTATTTGCCTGGAGTTCTCAACTCACTTATGTTTGGCCTTTGGTTATAATAACAGCCCTACCAGCAATCAATACAAATACTGCTTTCAATTTCTCTCATCCACCTCACAGCCCTCTCCCTACCTCTTTCTTCTGCCTCTTCTCATGCTTATAGAAAAGAATTAGGAGAAATCCTTCTGAACCCAAACTGAAGCTAAAGGTAATAACAACACTGGGCCATGGAGCCGAGACCAGATTTTGGCCCCACTCTGCTGTGCCCTGTGGTATGACATGAGCAGGGTGCTTAGTCTCTCTGGACCCCTGTGTTCTCATCTTTAAGTGATGGTGTGGACTTTGATCTCTGTTTTTTGGTTCAGCCTGTAACTTACCTATATTAAGAAGCTGCTGCTGATCTGGAGACACTTCATCACGGAGGAAGGTCAGAAAGCACTTATATGTCCAACACCTGCGTGCCATCCTATGCAGTGTGGCCTCCGAGGCAACCTGGGGTCAGTGGTGTGGTCAGTACTCTTCCCCCAACCGCCACAAAATCTTTCCCTCATCTCCATCTTTTCTTGTCTCATTTCCTTTACCTCCCCCTCCCCCCTTCTCTCTGATTGTATTACTTGTTTTCAACTTTCTTAATCCATGTTTTTTCTCCCCACTGCCCAATTCCTAAGCCACCTGTACTGCCTAAGATTGCCAAGCCCCCTGCTGGGTTAAAGGGGTTACCTGCTTTCCTTTTTCTGGAAATGTTCCTGTTAATTTAAGTCTTCTCAAGAAGGTTCAAGTCTAATCTTGGAATTTTTTTATTCATTGTGTTCCACAGGGTACAAGTTTAAGCTCTTAAGGGAACGTTATGTTTTAGTAGAACTTTTAGGAGTTATTGTTTTTTGGGGTTTTTTTATTTAACACCCAATATTAATTGAGGACCCACCAGGTGTCAGACATTGGTCTAGATGTTGAGGCGATAGGAGGAAAGAAGGTCCTGCTCTTATGGAGCTTGAATTCCAGTGGGGAGAGAGGTACAAGTAAACAAACCATTAAGTCAGTGGTGAAAACGTCAAGTGGTGACATGTACTATGCATAAAAGAAAACAGGGGCAGAGATGGGCATGGATGAGTTCGTTTTTGCTGAGAACTGAAGAATGAGAAGGAACCAGGCCATGAGCTTACCTGCTGAGAGGGCTTACAAGTGTGAGGTCCCCAGGATGCAAACAAATAGGTGCCTTTAACAGAAAGGACTGGAAAATAAATTAGCAAGAGGGAAGTTACTTGAGATGAGGTCAGAGGACTAGGGAGGGGCCAGTTATTGTGGGTCTGTTTGAGTCTTGGTGGAGTGTTTAGATTTTTTTAACTGAAAGGAGAAACCACTGAAGGATTTTAACCAGGGGGGAAACATCAGATGTAGGTCCCATGGGGGGCCTGGTAGACACCTCATAAATGTGTCCAGAGTTGATTGTATTTACAAGTTTTCATTAAAGATGAAATGAACCCAAACTCTAGACAACTACTCCCTTGCATGTCTCAGAGGCTCCAGCCTTCTCACTGACATACTCCCTTCTAATTGAGCTGTCACTGGTGGATAAGAATAGCCATGAGCTCCTTTGCATAGTGTGTGTGTGTGTGTGTGTGTGTGTGTGTGTGTGTGTGTGTGTGTGTTTGGCGTGCTCACTTTAAGAACTTAAAAATAATTCTCAAAATACATCTTATTGCTCATGTTCTCTTTTTAGACCCAGCTAGAGTTAGACTTCCCCAAAGGTTCACTCAGGCATTTACTTGGTAGCTAGTTAGTAGAGGGGGAAGCAGATGAGAGCTGCAGGCCTCCACCTCTGCCCCGCCCCACGCCTGCATGGGTTATTCACTCAGTGAGTGTCCCCTGGACTCCAGACCCTGTGCTAGGCAGGAGGGATACAGTCATGCCTTCAAGAGGCTCCAAGCAAAGTAGAGGATTCTTAGTCACTCATCCATCAGTGCGCTGGGATCAGGAATTCTGCCATGGCTTGGCATCATGATAACTCTGCTTGTGCAGTTGGACTCATATCTCAGAGAGTTTAGAGTCTGAAAGAACCTTAGACATCAACGATGCTGGTATTCCTCAGGAGGAGCATTTCCTCAGTAGAAGCATTTCCAGTATTTTGGGTGAGTCTGTCCTAAGCATCCCAGGAAGTTTTTGTATTCCTGGCTCCGCTCATGGATCCTCCTGACATACACCCCTGTTGTAAATGGGGTGGGGGAGGGGAGAGAAGACCTGTGGATCCAAACTGTTCAGTGGTCAGGAAAAATGCTACTGATAATCATGCTTATATTTTGGCTCCCAATACCATTCCATCCCACTGTCCCCACTCCCAAGGGAAAATGCCTCCACACATTCCCAACAGCCTCCTGAACTGAGAACCACTGCTCTTCCCAGCTCTATCAGAATATTAGGCAACTTGTCTTTTCGTGCCATTTTTCTCAGAACCCAGCAAAATCAAGACCCAAAGTTCAAATGTTACAAGGTTTGTTACTGAACTATGCCTCTGTTTTTCATTCTTTCAACTGATATTATTTTATCAGTTGTTATATGGTATGTGTTGAGAACATTAAATCTGATCCTTTCAGATGCATCTAGAAAAAAATTATGAGCATTTTCAGATTATTTAAACACACAAGGTTTTGGTATAATATTTTCTACCCACATTCCATTGCCCAACCACCTCTTACAGTCCTTTAATGAGAAACCTGACTTTCCCTCTATGTTCATTGTCTCTGTGCCTTTGTCCAGCATCTCCCGGGAGAGCTATTGTTACTCCATTAAATATGAAACAAAACATGCTGGCATAGAAAGCTCTGGATCTTCATATGGCCTGAGCTGTGTATCATGTATCCGGACTTGAGCACGGAATCGCCTGTCCAACGCAATCGCTTTCATACACCTGACCAGCTCTCTTCGCCTGCCTTTCTGACTTTCTCCCTGTACCCTTGGACGCTCCAGAGATGAGGAGGAATCGTTTGTCCCAGTTTTTGGTGCATTTGAGAGCTTTTAATTCTTGGGTGACTCTTTTTTCTTAATACTAAATGGTATAGTTAATATCGAGAGTGATTCTCTCAAATGGAATTTTCCTGAAGGAATCTCAGATTCCGTGAACAATTACTTTTGTGCAAGTATCTAGAATAAAGTTGGGATGCTAACTAGGTGGACGTTCTAGTTTCCTCCTCTTATTGTGCCAAGCAGGTATGTTACACCTTGTGGGAAGGAGAAACATTTCATATCCTTTTAGTTTAGTTTTTTGTTTGTTTGTTTGTTTGTTTTGTTTGTTGGGTTTTGTGTGTGTGTGTGTGTGTGTGTGTGTGTGTGTGTGTGTGTGTATGTTGTTGTTTTTGTTTGTTTGGTTTTAGTTTTTGTCTTTTTTTGCTTGCTTCTTAAGTAAAACCAATCTAGTTTCTTTTTCTGCAGCAAAGGAGGAAGGAACAAACAACAAATTAATCATACAGGAAGCGAATAACCACAGAGAACGTCTGCCTCTGACTCAGTATGTCACATTTAATAAGAGGCCAGAGCGTGTCCAAAATGGCTGTCCAAAAACGACCCCGCATTTGCCTTAGAAGATGATGCCTTTTTCAGGGACCGCTTTCTCTCCGGGTTCATCTCTCCCTTGCTCTCTGTCTGCCTGTGTCCCTGATCATGCCTTCCTTCAGTATCCACTAACGGTAAGAAAAATTATATTTAAGTGTGTGTTCTTTATCAGCTAGAGGGGAGAGCCGAGTGGCTTTTCATGGGCCGTTGTATGTTGAGACAAAGCTCAGTGTTTCAATGGAAGACCACGTGGTCTGTTCCTCTGGCACAGGATGCCCGTTTCACCGCGATGGTGATTGCAGGTGATTCATAACTTGTGTTTGGAGCCAAAATGTAAGCGAGATTATCAGTAGCATTTTTCCTGACCCGGGACTGTTTGATCCACCGGTCTTCCCCCAACCCTCCTCCTCCTCCTCCCCCCATTTAAAACGGGGCTGTGCCAGTCAGGAAGTGTAACTGTTCCGTGTATGGGGCAGTTATCCACACGGTTGCCTTTGAACTGTCGCTTTGGCCAGCAACAGCAAATGCTTTTAAAGAAAAGGGAGTCACTGGAAACTTCAAAGGAAAGCACCATGGAACGGAACTGTTGCCATCCTACTGCTACAGACAGACGTTACTTAAGTACAAATCCTAACCGAAACCATTTCTAATCAGTCTTTTAAGAAGACAATTTCTCTGTAGAATCATTCAACATCCTACCGGTGCAACCCATGCACAACCACTATTGCTAATCAAATTCCAAAGCATTCTCTATAACTATTTGCATTTAATGTGATTAATATTTTGGCATAAAATATTGTAGTTTTAAAATTTCAAGCCAAGTACCCAGAGACCTACAGAGTAGGGTTGAGGGAATTTTTGGGTATCAAAAAAAAAATTTTTTTTTTTCCTTTGGAGCATGTATGAAAAAGCAACTTGACATTTACATTCCTCCCTGCCCCCTCATGAAGTAATGTAAAGTAAGCTTTAAACTAGCATGTGCCCTCTTACTTTAAAGAGGGCACATGCTAGTTTAGTCTATAAGTACAAGTTCTTTTAAGTAGTTCAATGGTCTGAGTAGGGTAGACAGTAGGAAATGGAGAAGTGGTCAAATGAAAAGGCTGCAGGGAGATTCTAATTGCGAAAGTAATTCAGCTGGGCAGAGAGAAAGAAAGGACGAGGAGGAGCCTGGGAAAGGTTTTGAGGTCAATTCGTGTGGAAAATACCCTGACTATTCACTTGGATGTGGGGGGGGAGGGCTTAAGCATGATATGTTAACTTCATAAAGCTATCTTACTTCTGAATTGGAACATCATCTAGTTAAAACTATTTTGTAACCTAAAGAGATTCAACAATTCTCTTAAACTCCGTCGGGTTTTCTAATGCTCTTTGAAAAGTTCACTCGTGGGTCAGTTGTTCACAGCTCTTCAATTACTCCGATATCTAAGTCTTTTTTTTTTTTAATGTTTTATTGATTTTTTACAGAGAGGAAGGGAGAGGGATAGAGAGCTAGAAACATCGATGAGAGAAAAACATCGACCAGCTGCCTCCTGCACACACACCCCCCCCCCCCCACCGGGGATGTGCCCACAACCAATGTACATGCCCTTGACCGGAATTGAACCTGGGACCTTTCAGTCCACAGGCTGATGCTCTATCCACTGAGCCAAACCGGTTTGGGCCGATATCTAAGCCTTTAAAGGATGGCATATACTGTGAATGAATTGCAATACTTAGAGAAATCCCCATGAAAATCATCCCTGGGGGCCAGCAGCAAATTTACCCTAGTCTCTGATGATTTCAAATTCTAGATCTGGCCTATATGTTAGGAGTTCCCCAACCCATGCTAACATGTAAAAGGAATGAGCTACCTAATTCCTGGACCTTTTAAGCGTTATGCCCTTTGAAGGCTTGCTTACCATCTCGTGAACATGTCATTTACTTTGGAAGTTTCTGGCTGCTTGCGGTTTGACTCGTTTTTTATTTCACCAAATTTTCATACGTTTACTTCTTGTTGGAAAGAGCATTTCCCCTCCCTGTCATAAGTACCTCTGTGTTTTGCAGCCCTCACTCCTGAAAATAATGCTAAATTAAGGAATGCCTTAATTAGTATGCTTTTCTGAGAAAATTAAAATTTCATGCACACCTCCCTTCCCCAATCATTGGTAATGCAGAGGTTTACAAAGATATGGACATGTGGAGTAAGGTTTAAATGTTTTCTCTTTCTCATTGTAAAATTGGGGGTGGGGGAGAAACAGTAACATTTATTGCGCCCTATTCTATGTGTTAGGCTCTTTAATTTCACTTATTTTATTTTTTTAAATGGCTAACATTGTTAAGCACTTGCCTCGTTTAATAACCCTATGTAATAGGTGCCATTTTCCCCATTTTATTGTGGGAGCTGGACTCAGAGAGGCTAAGTAATTGCCCAAGGCCACCTGAAGACCAAGCGTGGAGGAAGCGCTCTGTAATTTAAAGAACTTTTTCCCTAAATGCAGTTTAGAGACAATGATCAGATGCCCTTTTCCAGGCCTGGGATAATGCAAATGCTTCGTTTTAAATGTCACAGCAACAGTAAATAGCTTTAAAGTGAACAAGACATTTTTCTTTCTAAGTCTTTGACCTTTGCAGAAGTAAGTTTGGTAACACTTCTAACTTATGTAAGAAGGCTCCACCTTTTCTTTGAAAAATTATTTTATAAAGAAACATTCCCAAGGGGAAAAAAAAGGCCCCATTTTCAACAATAAAATGAATAAAATATATCAAGTGTGTTGACATATATGCAGTATGTGTATGGTGTGTGTGTGTGTGTGTGCATGCATGTATGAATCTGTGTGTGAGTGTGCGCGTATGTATGTATGTATGTGTGTATGTAGTGGAGAACAGGGGTAGATCTTAATTCCATGATAAAACTGAAGATGGTGCCGAGGATTTAGGAAAACTTCAGCTTTGAGATTTGAGCCCCTTAAGGAGACTGCAATGGGCAGTAATGGGAGGAGATCAATACTGTTCAGTTTTGTGGATAAAGTAGAACAGGGTTTCCCTTCGCTTCCCCACGGTTAAACAGCAGGTGGGTGGGTCATTCAACTTACTTTCATTTTCTCACTTTTGAAAAGGCTTGCTGTCTATGAATTTACATTAGTTTTTTAATTAAACATATATGACAGCAGGTTAAAAAAATAATTTTACTTCATAGCAGCCTATAAAGTAAAATATTTTCTTTTCCTAGCAGTTACTCTAGCAGTGAAATTGTGAGTTGGCGTCGTACTAATTGTAATAACATTGTAGATATTCCAAAATGTCTTCTGAAAAATGCCTTTCCCATCTCCCCAAATCAATCAACTCTTCATCTAAATAAGTCCTAAAAGAAGTATTTCTAAAACAGCCACAGACCCTCTAACCCTTAGGCAAAAACCCTTACCGTTGAGAAGACAGCCTGTCAGCACAATTAACTTAAGCTGCCATCTTAAATCATGTTCAACCGAGAAAGGAGCCAGTACATTTTGAGAAACGAGGGGTTTCAGGCACAGAAAGCTTGTATTCCACATTCAGCTCCGACTGAGAATAACAGCAACACGTAACTAGGTGAGGCTGTCGCTCTGCTTATTGTAAAGCAACCCTCGCTTCTCTCCTCCACCTTCTGCTTCCTCTTGGGCTGAGCAGCCTTTTCTGATTGCCTCATGGCCTGCAGCCCTCTGAGCTGGGGCCTGAGAAGGGGAAGAGGAACAATGATAGAAACAAATTTAATGCCAAGATGTTACATTTTCTAAAATGGCCCAGGGACATGCAGGTCTGCTGGGGGTGCGGGCTGGAGCACAGAGATGGTGCACTGTGACTGGTATCGTCAAACAGAAACTACAGACGCCTGCAGCTGTGAAAAGATGGTGCTAAAGAAACAGGATGGCTGTGGTTTGCTGTGAGCATCAACTTTCCTGTTGAGCATTTTTACAGGAAGTTGAAGAACAAAGCCAACTTCATCTAAAGTTGTACGAATGGTTTTTCAGATCTTAAACACATCCCGCTAAGTTTGCATCCTGGAGGAGCCTCTAGAGAATGGGACCAAGAATAATTGAGTAGAAATCCCAAAACTACTAGTTTTTCAAAAAATCAGGATTTTAGAAGCAATTTGAGTTGGCTAAATGGCTTTCTTTTTCCATTGTAACTTGGAGTGGATTCATTGCCTTTATAATGAGTGCCTCTGAAATCTTTTTTTTTATGATTGTAAGAAACCAATATAAATTTAAGAGCCTTTTCTTATTAAAACACTGTTGAGCTATCTGTATTATAAATGTCTTTATATTAGTATTTATTGGTCAAATAATGGTGTGTATAGATAGATAGATAGATAGATAGATAGATAGATAGATAGATAGATAGATAGATGTGTGTGTGTGTCTGTCCACTTGTGTATTTATAAGCTAGAAGGACATACATCAAAATGTTAACAAAAATTACTTGGGCATTATTAACTCCAAGTGTTTTCACCTAAAATTTAATTATTATCAAATGCTTCCTTCAGTGGTTAAATGCCACTGTTGTTTTATTTTCGTCTTTGTGTATTTTTTTGTATTGTCTATTGTTTTCTAAATAAATAAATGCTACTTTTAGAAGAAAAAAAATATCAAAATCAATCTGAAGCCAAGAGAATGTGAGAAATACATACATAAAAATACTTTAAGAACATTGTATATAAAGTAAAATATAAATGAATATAAATACAGATAAGGTGCAGAATAAAAAGTGATGAGGGCAAAAGAGCATTTGGACCTCTGGCTCTGTCCAGTTGTATCATTTCTATTATAGCCACCCCACCCCAAACCACCCCCACCCCCACCACACACACACAGAGTGAATAAAATACTCAATTGAGTCAACCTTTTTGAAAAAAAAAAGTTTAATTTTTCTCCTATTTGTAGTATAGTAGTTAAGTGACTTGGCAGTATTTATATAGCAAAATGTTTTGTATTTTTTAATAATACAAAATGGTGATAAAACATACCTGGGTAAACCTGCTTCTTATGGTCTCAAGTAGAATGTGGCTGATTCGGCA